TACATACTTGCTCCCATGGGCATGTTTACACAGGCACACCTACTGTCTTCCATGTTATCAATGCACCGTTTTCAGACTGTCCAAATACATTCACTTCTAAGATTGCAGAGAAGTAGTTAACCAGGGGGCACAGTGAATGAGTCCTTTTACTTCCTTGGGTTTGTAGATGGGTAGTAGTATGTTAGTATGTCTGTCTGCCTGCCTGTCTGCCTATTTGTTCATTTAGCACACTGGGGCTGTAACTCAGGGCCTTCTACATGCTAGGCAAGCTCTCTATTACTGAGCTCCATTCCCAGTCCCATAGTCTGAATTTCTTTTTTTTTGTATTTTTAATACATTTTTTATTATAAAAATATTGTACAGAGGGGTTACAGTTACATGAAAAAGGTAATGAGTACATTTCTTATCAAGCATTGTTACTTCCTCCTTTGTTTGTCCCCTACCGTCGCTTCCCTCCCACCTCCACAACTACACTACCCTCCCCACCCACCCCCACTCCCGCCTAAATTGTAAAGTTTGTTTTTCAACATAGTGTCTTGTACATCTCATTGTTACCATGGGTCAAACTGTATCCCTATTTAAACATTTTGTTTTTTCCCTTCCACTCCCCAAATTAGAGAAGGGTATTTACAAAATGCAGGGCACCGACATCAAATACAGTGAAAACAGGGGTTATACCGTGGGGGAGGAACATACAAAGCAACAAAAAAATCACATAGTACATTAAGAAAGAAAATAGATATTTGTGTCCCTATCTTGGGGTTCATTTCGCTTAACATCATCTTATATGGTCATATGTACATAGCTTTAGACCTTCTCTGCTTGTCCCAGATGTATACTATTTATTGCAAATAAGGGAAACCATGGGGTCTATGTTTCTTTGGGCCTGGCTTACTTCACTTAATCTAATTTTTTCCAAGTCTTTCCATTTCCTAACAAATGGGGCAATGTCATTCTTTCTGATGGAGGCATACAATTCCTGGGTTGGTTCCATATCTTAGCTATGGTAAATAATGCTGCAATAAACATAGTTGTGCTGGTAGCTTTAGTATGGCCTTGTTTATGATCATTTGGGTAAATGCCCAAAAGTGGGATTGCTGCGTCATAGGGGAGCTCTATGTGGAGTCTTTTGAGGAACCTCCATACTACTTTCCAAAGGGGTTGAACAAGTTTACACTCCCACCAACAATGCAGTAAGGATCCCTTCTGTCCACATCCCCTCCAGCATCTGTTGTTATTAGAGTTCTTGATTATAACCATTCTAACTGGGGTGAGGTGAATTTCTTAAGGTCTAATTAAACAAATGTGCTGGGTGATTTATTTAATATAACAAGCAAATTCTGCTAAACCACCATATTTTTGTGGCATCCTCCTGATGTGGGTTTTATATACTAGAGAATATCAAGTAACTGAAAACAAGCCAGCTTCCTTGGCTGAGAGGAATCTGCTATAGCTACAATCACCACAACCAATATTTTTTGCTTCGTGTGGTGGGCAACCTCAAAAGAACCCACCCACACTATGCCTCGTCATTTAAGAAACTCCATCATCCTTCTATTTCAAAAATGCTGAATTTCATGTTCAAAAAAGTTTTTGACACTGTACTTAGAATTGAGGGAGAAGAGAAGGGAGGGGAAAGGAGGGAAGAGGAGGGGCAAGGGGAGAAAATGGGGAGAGGGGAGGGAGAGAAGAGAGGAGAAGAGAGGCGAGGAGAAGAATATTTAGAAGGATGTCTGTATAGTACTAAAGTAAAACCGGAATAAAAACGTTTCCTCAAGTTTGTCTTTTTGACAAGTAGGAAGACTATGACCACTAGTTTCCACAGAAAAACGAGTCTTAGTATGCAAAAAACATTTTCTAGGTTCTTCTTTCACTTGTGTTCTGAAAAGATTATTTATTCCTTCTTTTCTTTCTTTGAGACAATTTTGCTCTGTAGCCCAGGCTGGCTTCGAACTCTTGATCCTCTTCTTCAGTCTTCTGAATTCTGGGACCACAGCAAACTGAGATTATAGGACTGAACTACTTCACTTGCCCTTGTTCCTCTTTAGACAGAAATTATAGCTAGGCTCCAGTGGCTTATAACTTTAATCCTAGCTACTCAGGAGGGTGCTATCTGAGGATGATGTATCAAAGTAAGTTTGGGGAGGAAAGGCCAAGAGACTCTTATCTCTAGTTAACCACCAATAAGCTGGATGTAGAGCTATGTTAAGTGGTAGAGTTCCGTCCATGAATGAAAAAGCTAAGGAATGGCTCCATACCCTGAGTTCAAGCATGAGTACCCACATCAAAAACCAAAAAAGAAATGTTATGCAGCATGCCAGCAAATAAATTAAAATAAAAACATTATGAAGTAGAGGGAAAAGAACAGTTAGATTGTCTGCTATCCCACAAAGGAAATACTGGAAACAATTGCTGAGAAAATGAAAATAATTATATGAGATGGAATCTTAAAACTAAGCAGGTGCAGAAAGTGAGTGAAAGGAGAACTTTAAACCTTAATACTCAATTTATTGCTAGGGAATTTCAAAGCACTATTAATTGACTGAACAAAACCTGTAATTAGTGGTAATTACAGAGATTTTTTTCCACACACTATGATTTTGCTGCATTTCTAAGGAGATAATCAAGGCTATTATTGTGAATAGATGGAAGAAATCATATAATGGTTTCCATATTTTGTCACAATTGAAGGGAAGCAGAATAGTCCTCCATTCCCCTCCCCTTGAAGGCAACAGCCATCAGTGACAGGAAAATAAGTTGTAAAGCTTCTCTAAAAAATTCAAGGCCCCCTGAATGAAAAAATAAATTCCACAACACCTTTGACAGTTGCCTGAGGGCTCTGTAACTAATGGCAACTGCCAACTACAAAGATTCTTATAGAAAAATCAAAAGCTTCAGCAGAGCCTTTTAATGAATTTCTAAAAGACAAACTATACACAAGCCTTTGTTATGCTGTTTTATATAGAGAGAGGGAGAGAGAGAGAGAGAGAGAGAGAGAGAGAGAGAAATTTTATGTGCTACAGTATGATGGCCAAAAGCTTTAATAATAAATTCCACTATGAAAATCGTCATAACAAAGACCCTTTGGATATATGGTTGACAATGACAGTACATCAAAGACTGTGTCAAGTTCCTTGGAATATAATCAATTAAATATTTATTGAAAACTTAACATATGTGTAATACTGTGTTAGACATTGAGAGAATACAAAAGAGTAATACTCAGAACAGGCAGAAAATTTGGACTCCAGAATTACTTACAACATATATGTTAATAAGAGTCTGGTAGAAAATTCAGAAACTCACAGTGCAGAAGATGTTTGCTGACCTAAACTCTGCTTAACAACTCTTCCCCAATGACCCTGTTGTACAGTCAAACCTTTAATTAATCCCTCATTTACTACAGTTTAACCCTGTCTCCTCCATGGAGCAAACTGGTCAACTCTCTCTTCCTATTATTTAGGGTTTTTTTTCTGGAGTGATGAAGCTCTTTTGATGATAAAAGTGTACCACATCCCATCAGATAAATGCATATCTGGATTAGCTTTATTTTATTTTTTTGCATATGTGTATTGGTGCTGGGGACTAGAGGCTGTCCTTTAGCTTTTTCACTGAAGGCTAGCACTTGAGCCACAACTCTACTTCCAGCTTTTTGGTGTTCAATTGGAAATAAGAATTAAAATAATAAAATAAGAATTAAAACAGACTTTCCTACTCCAGCTGGCTTCTGAGTAATTAGGATTACAAGCAAGGCACCAGGCTCAGTTGGTTTAATTTTTAAGAAACACTGTACATAAACATTTAAGAAGCATTGCACACAAACACTTCTAAGATAGTGCACCCAAGGACAAAGCCTATATTCAACAACTTCAGTTGAAGAAACTAAACATTGGCAATTAAACAATTACAACATTCAAACTACAATATAGTTCTATTCCTAAAGAAACAAATTAAGCTACCCCTAACACCACAAGGGAAATATAAAACAGAAGGTCACAGGAAATACATTCCTAAAACAATCATGATCAGAGTAAAAGAGAAAAAAGAAAAGAAACAAACAAAAAAAAAACAACCCTCCACTGCCAGATACCAGTGGCTCATGTTTCTAATCCTAGGTACTCAGGAGATAGTGGTTCAAAGGCCAAGCCTAAGCAGAAAAGTCTGAGACCCCATTTCTTTTTTTTTTTTTTTTTTTTGGTTCCGGTCGTGGGGCCTGAACTCTGGGCCGGGGCGCTGTCCCTCAGCTCTTCAGCTCAAGGCTAGCGCTCTACCACTTGAGCCACAGCACCACTTCCGGCTTTTTTCTTTTTGCTTATGTGGTGCTGGGAATCGAACCCAGGGCCTCAAGCATGCAAAGCAAGCACTCTTACCACTGAGTCACCTTCCCAGCCCCTGAGACCCCATTTCTATAATAATCACCAAACCCCTAGACTGAAGGCATGGGTTCAAGTGGTAGAGCACCAGATGAGCAATCAAGTTGAGTCAGTGTACCTTCTATCCTGTCTATCTTTGTGGGGATAAACAACTGTTTTGTTTGCTGTTTGAGACAGTCTCCATTTACAGCTCAAGCTGGCCTCCAAACTGTAATCCTCCAAACTCAGAGTCTCCAATGCTGAGCTTACAAATATAACAGGTATGCACCACTACACCTGGCCTACATCATACATTTATTTTAGTGCTGGTCCTGGGGCTTGAGCTTAGAGTCTGTTCCTAACCTAGTATTCTAGCCACTTGAGCCACAGCATTACTTCTGGCTTTTTGGTATTGGAGATAGGAGTCTCACAGATTTTCTGACCATGCTAGATTTGAACTTCAATCTTCAGATCTCAGCCTCTTGAATAGCTAGGATTACAGGCATGAGCCACCAGTGCTGGGTATCCCATCTCTTTACTATTTTGTCTTAAGACTTAGGATCAATCATTCATGCACTTTTTACAGAAATAACTGTGAGAGCAAATAAGGATAGCCTTCCTATAGTTAATAGTACAAAACATACTCACCAACTTTTGCAAAGGCCTCCTTGAGTTCATCAAGCTCATCTTTGGAAATCTGAGTGGTAGCCATTTGATCCATTTAAAGATCTAAAGAGAAATCAAAAAGGTTTATTTAGACTTTTAAAAAAATTGTCGTGAACATACTCTTCTAAAAGTCTCATATAGGAAAAAAATCAGAATAGGTATTATATCTGCTGTAGATCCATTATAAAAAAAAAAATGGGACCTTATTTACCAAAACTAATTTAGAAAACAGTATTTCTGAATCTTCCTTTTCTTTTTTGTTTTGTCGGTCGTGGGGCTTGAACTCTGGGCCTGGGCGCTGTCCCTCAGCTCTTCAGCTCAAGGCGAGCACTCTACCACTTGAGCTACAGCGCCACTTCCGGTTTTCTGGTGGTTTATTGGAGATAGGAGTCTCATGGTCTCTCCTGCCCGGGCTGGCTTTGAACCACGATCCTCAGATCTCAGCCTCCTGAGTAGCTAGGATTACAGGCGTGAGCCACTAGCGCCCGGCTGAATCTTCCTTTTAAGAATAATCTCCTAAAGCACAGGAGTGGAAGGGTCAACATATCCAGCAATGACAGGAAATAGACACATTGGTTTTATATTCCAAAGTTTAAAGTCCAAAATTACATGACCAGAAATTTGTGTTAAATATCATTTTCCCATTAAGCCAATCTAGTCCTAGCTATTCACAGAAAATAATGACTTTCAAATATCACACTGACATGTGTGATTTGAGTCCTGAACTTGATCCTCTCCCCGGATTTGAGCCCTAGGACTTGTGTCCTTCTTACTATAGAACTCTCACAATGCCTAGAACTGTGAGGCACTCAATTAAACTATACTTTAACCAAATTCATTCATTGACATTTATACGCCAACTAATGCATTAGATAATTCCCTAAACCCTCAATGGTCCTATGAAGGCTATTCTTATCCCTTTTATTTCTTAGTAGATGATTGACTAGCTCATCAGGATAATGGAACTGGAATTCAAATTTCAGGTTTCTCAATCCTAGACAAGTTAAAAATGGCCATGATACTATAAACTAAGTTTTCCCCCACAGAATGAATCACATATAAATGACTGGAATTTTTATTTTTTTAAATACAGGTACTGGGACTTGAACTCAAGGCCTGCCACTCTTACTTGGCTTTTTTTGCTCAAGGCTGGTATTTACCACTTGTGCCATGCCACTATTATAGTGGCATCTCAGCCTTCTGAGTAGCTAGGATGACAGATGTGAGCCACCAGTGCCCTGGCTTGTTATTATTTTTTAGGAGACAGAACCTTTTGTGTTTTGGTAGCAACAGGACTAAATTTTCAGGCCACAGTGTGAGATCTGCTTCCCTCAAACTTTGTTATGGTATCACCAGACAACAACAAAACTCATAAATTGCTCATAAACTTTTCTTACCTATGATCTCAGAATGTCTCTAGAGACAGACCACTTGTCTGTAGGAAGGCTGGGTACAAACACCTTGGAGTCTCAGTTCTATTGGGTAAAAAAAATCTTCAGTTAAATATAAAGTTGGCCTTTTAAAAGATTAAGTATAAAAACAATTTTCCAGAAATGAAGCTGTAATCTCAAAGTATTTCATAGTTTACTGAGATGATGTTCAATACTTCCAATTACTAAAATACTTGACAGGATTTATTCCAATTTTCTTCATACATATTTTAAGCAATCACATTTTTAGTACAAAATTCTTACTCATCTCCATGCACTACACCATGTACAAAACGGCATGAAAAGTTTGCAAGTGTAAAAACGTACAATGTGCTTTGTTTTCCATCTCTAAAGATACTTTACAGGAGCTGGGAAGGAGGCTCAGTGGTAGAGTGCTTGCCTTGCATGCATGAGGCCCTGGGTTTGAGTCTTCAGCACCACATAAGTAGAAAAAAAAAGCCAAAGTGGCGCTGTGGCTCAAGTGGTAGAGTGGTAGACTTGAGCTGAAGAGCTCAGGGACAGCTCCCAGGTCCAGAGTTCAGGCCCCACAACCGACAGACACACACACACACACACACACACACACACACACACACACACACAAAGATACTTTTACAGGCTGAATAGTTTAAGTCAGTAATAATGTAAGATATGTGATTTAAAAACCCAACATCATCAACAACTGATTATGTTTTCATACTACCATATAGCTACTATACAAATAAAGAAAATTAGAGAAGACGAGTCTGAGGATTGGGGAAGTAGCTCATTGGTAGAGCACTTGCCTGAGCTGTATCTCCAGGACCACCAAAATGAATGAATGAATGATGAATCAATGAAAAAGGAAACTATTATGCATTTTTTTAACTGGCATCAAGGCTTGAACTTAGAGCATTGAACTTGTGCTTGTCACAGCTGGCACTATGCCACTTGAACCATACCTCCAGCCAAACTTTTTGCTGGTTAATTGGACATGGAATTTTTTGAACATTTCTGCCTAGACTGGCTTTGAACTGCAACCCTCCAGATCCCAGGTTCTTAAGTAGCTAGAATTAAAGGCCTGAGTCGCTGGTGCCTCATTTAAAAAAAAAAAAAAAAAGACAAAAGATGGGCCTGCTATTCCAAGTGACCAGAAATCTCAATCTTTATCTCCCATCTCTCTCCTCTGTAGGCTGCAAGGATTAATATGGCAGAAACCTCCTTCCCTGCTGTCCATACCCCTTACCAATATGCCTCCCCCCTTCTATCCATATTTTAAGCATGTGTTCTGTGCCTAGTTCCTGCCCTTGAGGAATTTACAATCTGGGGAGGCAAATGTAAATAATTACAATATGACATAAAGTGAATTTGTGGCTGCAGTAAAAGGTAGAAATATCAACTTTTTAGAGAGCTAAAGGCTCTGCAGACCCTAAGGATTATGAATTCCTTCTCAAGGATGCTGAGAATGCAATTCTTTTGTTCCTCTTACAAAATTAGGAATTGCTTAGATCTCATAGAAACAAATTTATGGTACCAGTTTGCTACAAAATATTAATCCATTGTATTAAAAAACACATACATATGTAAGTTTCCAACTGCTTACTTCTTTGTAATTGTCTTAATAAATATCTGAAATGGTGTCTTTTAGATTTTTAACTAAGATTCTCCACCTCCAGGCAATGTTAAGAGGTACAACTTCCATGCTCAATACCACAAAGAAGAGGTATAACTAAATAAGAGTAAAGAGAAGAATTGGAGGTTGGGCTAGTAATCCTAGCACAGCAGAGGATTCTAGAGTCCTAGGCCAGATTGGGCTACAGAGATATTGTCTCAAAAACCCTAAGCGCCTCCACTACCAAGGAGTCACACCCTCAGCCCTACAAAGTCAAACAGTAACAGTAAGTGGTCTAATTGATAGGAATCACTGTTCCTAAATTTGACATTTGATTCTCAAAGTTACTACATGCAGACTCCCACCATGAACTAAAACACTTTTATCATTATAACTACTCATGAGCACTTAATAGTCGGTATCTTTAAAGAAATCAGACAATAATGTGCTATCCTGAGGGGAAAAAAACATTATATCAAATAATCTGGCAGTGACTGCAGGATTTTATTATTTGTTATTTTATTATACATCCAAACAGTATTTGTTTTTCTTTGGTATAAAGTTGTTTCTAAAACTTCTCATTTTACCACTACATTGAGAAGTGCTTCAAATATAATTTTAGCTTGTTTCCTTTTTCTTAAGTAAGAGTTGGGAGTATACTTGCGCGCGCGCGCGTGCGCGCGTGCGTGCGCGCGTGTGTTTGTGTGTTTGTGTGTGTGTGTGTGTGTGTGTGTGTGTGTGTGTGTGTGTAGTGATGCTGGGGGATGAGCTTAGGCCCAGCCCTAACTGTAGCTTTTAAAATACTAAATTTGGGAGGGGGGGTGGTATGAGAAGGGATGGGAAGGGGAAACAAAGGAGGAGGCAACAATGCTTGATAAGAAATGTACTCATTACCTCCCATGTAATTGTGACCCCTCTGTATGGTATTTTCACAATAAAAAATAAAAATAAATAAAAATAAAAATTAATTTACCTCCAAAAAATAAAAATAAATACATAAAACACATATGACAGGATTACAGCAACATCTCCTATGTGGGATTCAGAAAATAGATTCTTGAACTTTACAATTTGGCGGGGGAGTGTAGTTGTGGAGATGGGAGGGGAGGGATGGGAGGGGAAAACAAAGGAGGAGGCAACAATGCTGGATAAGAAATGTACTCATTACCTTGCTCATGTAACTGTAACCCCTCTGTACAGTATTTTCACAATAAAAAAACTTATTTTTAAAAAAACATTAAATCTTAGGGGAGCTAGTTGCTCATGCTTGTAACCCTAGCCACTCAGGAGGCTAAGATCTGAGGATAATGGTTTGAAGCCAGCCTGGGCAGAAAAGTCTGTGAGACTCTTACCTCCAATTAAGGAGCAAAAAGCCAAAAGTGTGGCCCAAACTTGAGTGAAAAAGCAAAAACTAGGCCGAGTGCAAGTCCTAACACACACACACACACACACACACACACACACACACACACACACACACACACATTTAGAAGTTAAAATAATACATACGCTATTCATCTCCATGGGATACTCATTGTACTATAGAATTTTTTCCTTCTCTCAAAGCAACAAAAACTTCCCAGACTAGTTCACAAGCAAAATAGAAAAATTTGACCTCATTACTGCTCTCCAGACACGACTTAATCCAGAGCACTTGTGCCAAGCTGTGGCTCCTCACCCAAGGACATAGTACATTCTAAAGGAAAGACTATTGTGCTTTAATTGCCAAAGCTAAAAGTCAAAATTATTTGACCAGTAATTCACGCCAAACATTATTTTCTCATTAATCCACTTTCCTAGCCATTTTCAGAAAACACTGGTTTTCAAATATCATACTGACATCTGTCAATCACTTTCTGAATTTGAGTGCCAGCATCGGAAAAAAAAATTGATCGCTGGAGAGTAAACATTGTTGGATATGTAGTGAGAAGACATCAATTAGTGACTTGACTTTGCTCTTTCATAATAGCATGTACATGAGCAAATTTATTCAGTCTGAGTCTTAGTTTCTTCCTCTGAAAACAGCAACGCCCATATACCCAGGATCATCATGAACATTAAAGGCAACACAGGTAAAGTCATACCTATAAAGTACAAATGGCAGCTTCAAATCCTTTGTGAAAGATAATAGAGGATGATGATTGCTTTTACATAGTTGAGAGGGGCTATGCAAACGTTAGCCACTAGTTCTTTTTTCTTTATTTTGGTCAGTCATAGGACTTGAACTCAGGGCCTGGGTATTGTCTCTGAGCTTTCCTGCTCAAGGCTAGCACTCTACTACTTGAGTCACAGCTCTATCTCTGGCTTTTTTAGTAGTTAATTGAATGTAAAAGTCTCACAGACGTTGCTAGGCCGGGCTGGCTTTGAACTGAGACCTTCAGATATCAGCCTTCTAAGTAGCTAGGATTACAAGTGTGAGCCACCAGCATCTGGCTAGCCCCTAGTTCTACTAAGAGCCCTTTAAATGGGATTCTTGGAATGTTATCTCATTATCCCTCTCTCTATCTATTCATTAGAGTGTAACAAAGCTTCCTCATATATGAAACTCATAAGCATTTAGTCACAGTGATTTAAGGAAGATAAACCTCAAGCAAACCTGTCAGCCACTTTTTTAAACCTCAATTTGGCTTCTTCCTAAGGGCAGTTTCTATCAACAAGTGGAGGAGCACACAAGTGACACATTAAAGCAAACCCACAAAAATGAAACTCATTTTCACTTCAGCATCCCTTTTCAAAATAGCTCTCAGCTGGACATTCCTCCTAAATTTGCACATTTTCTCATGAGCAATGGAAAATAAAAGTTTGAGGAAAGTAAATAGCACTTGCTGAATACAAATTGAACCCCAATGTCCTAACATGCGATTGACAGGAAATGGAAAGGCTGACTTGGATATAGTTCTTTTTTCACTCCCAATCTGTCTTTCCTCAAAAGTGAAATTGATTATGTAAGAGAGAGACAGGCACTCACACACACACAGAGCTGATAATCAAAAAACAAATATATTTTCCTTCCACTGCAATTCAGCAAATGAAATAACTCATCAAAATACAGCTATCTAGGATCTCTAGACTTTTTTTAAATCTAGAGATTATCTGCAAAACACTTTGATCTCTAATTCAGTTTTTTGTTAACTCCAGCCTGCCCTTGCTCCCAAAAAGCAAGGAAAAAACAAACCCTCTTGCCTTAAACATTAGACATACAGGAAATCAGATTTTTCAACTAAGGGAATAAAACAAAAGCAAACAAAACCTTGTTTGTTTGTTTTCTTTTCATAAAAGGATATGGTGTACAACTGGGTATGAATTCAGGGCGTCACCCATAGAAGAATCTTATGCCTATGAAGTCATCCCTAATTACAGCGTGTGACTAACAATACAACAATTATGAAACCACGCCACTGGTTCATTTAACGATACATAAGCCCTGAACACAAATCTTCTGCTGAGAACACTC